ACAAGATGCCTTTTCCATTTTTGAAATTCCCTTGATAGGCCCTTCTTCTGTTTATCGTTAGACCAAAGCATTTTTGAGCCCAAATCTTTTCCTTCCTGGATATAACTGTCCTTCCTATTTGAATGTAAGTATTAAGTTTCTGCATGAAATCTCCCTTCTGAGCTATATATTCTAACCAATTCAGTTATTCTTCAAAGAAACAGTGTGCAGACCCCACAGCATCCTGACTTCCTTCCTTGGAGCCACTCAAATCCCACTCATCCATAAACTGTGACATCAGCATCTACACTACAAGCACATAGGCCACAGGAGCAATGGTTTTCACACTTTTAAATGATGTGAATTCACCAGTTTATGGTAGCCCACACCTGTAATCCCAGAAACTCAGGAAGCAGAGGCAGAAGGATTGCAAGTTCAAGGCCAGCCTCAGCAACTTAGTGAGGCCCTGTCTCAAATAAAAAGAGCTGGGGATATAGCTCAGAGGTAGAGCAGTCATGGGTTCAGTCCCTAGTACTAACAAAAAAATAAAAATAAAAAATCATATGGGATCTGTTTTCAAATGAGACCTTATACCTTATACGGATCCCTAGCAAGGAAAATGGAACCCCTGGAAGTGTGCTGACTGTGTCCTTCCCCATTTGATCCCTGCCCACTTACTGCCCACCTCACTGTTCTTTGAGGAGGACATAAGGCCCTAAGAAACCTTGAAGCACATATTAAAATCACTGGAGAGCATGGTCTCTCAGTTTCCTACAAGCTCTAAAATTCTTAAGGAAAAAATATATATTTTTCACATGAATTGTTTCCATGGAGTATAACACAAACGTAACCAAGGACAGTTCCAGCCCCAGCTCTACCACCTCATGCGTGTGCAACATTGGGGAAAATTTCGGTGCTGTTTCCTCATCTTCAGGTCAGAAAAATAATTGTCTTTACCTCCCATGGGCATTGTGAGAATGAGATGATTCAACACAGAGGGAGCCGTAAGAACAGTACCTGGTGCTCAGTAAGCCTCACATTAGCTGCCAGCTCAGGCCTCCTCAGTCTTGACTCACCAAATTAAATTTCTGAATGTAAACTCATGACATTAATCTTTTCTAAATATAACCTTTTTCTGCCTGGCAAGGACCCAGCATTCAGGTTTCAGGCTCAAGATAACTTTGAATTTTGATTCCCTCATCTTTTCCATTACCTGTCTCTCCCAGGACTGGGACACCTGCATTCTTGGTAAGTAAACCCTCTGGGCTTTCAACCAGGTCACCAGTCTCTTCCCAAAGGTCAGATTTCACTTTATTAGGTGGCCATGGCTCCAAAGATAACACGGCAATACTTGGCCCCATTGTATATGGAAATCATAAAGGTAATAATTTGTTAAAACATAGTAAATTCCAATTTGGATCTTCAGAAGTCGCACAATCTGAAGATAAAAGAAGAAGGGAGCATATTGTTTATCACAGTGAATTAGAAGCATGCCAGATTTCAGAGACTAGGGACAACCTGAACTTTGAAGCTGCTCAGGCAATTTTGGAATTGCACAGAAAACAAAATTTGAAAACCCCGATTGATAAGTCAGAAAACATTCAGAAAATTTCTGAGTAGAAACGAGCTTTTGTTTCTTTACCAGACTTCAGGGGTCCATTCAATTAAAAAACCCTTTTTTTGAACCAAAGAGATAAATCCCAGCTCCTAACATGGTTCACAGCATTTTTCACAACTTTGAACCACCTGCCTCTTTCACGACTATTGCCCTCCTTCCCATGAAAATACCCTGAATGTCCCTACCTGTGCCCTCTGACTTGCTGTTCCTTCTGCCTGTGGACATGTCCCCTTCCTCTCCAGAACACACATGCCTTTCTCAGGGACCCAGTTGCAGTTGCAGTGTTACTTCTGTAAAATTTAGTCTGATCACCAACTCACTGCTCCTTTCTCTATATTTCCATTGGATTCTATATTTCCTCTTTTCAACCCTCATAATTTATTATTGTTTTCCATCATTTCCAAGTGTCTCTCACAAGCCACAGCAACCTAGGAGACATTGTATGATGCCCAACTGATCCCCTCCATTTCAGACATACTCTATAACTTTCATAAAATTGTAGAGAATGTTCCAGGTCTTACCTACCTTCAATAGCATTGTTTTTATGGAAAAATGTGAACACCGTGCTAAATTACAGTTTCAAGTTAACTTTGGGGGTAACTCCCACCTTTTTTTTCATTTAGCAAATGTTTGTTGAGCTCTTATTGTATGTCAGGCATTTGTTTAGCCATACGAGATACACTTGTAAGCAAATCATTCTGATATCTTACCCTTGTGGAGCTTCTATTCTGGCGGGGAAAATAAAATAGTTAAGATATGTTTAATAATAAGATATGTTTTAAAATGATCATTATAAGGAGAAAAAAAATCACGCTAAAGGAAAAGAAATACCAGAAGGAAAGCTGCAATTTTACGTAAGATAATCAGGGAAGGCCCCACTGAGATGGTGCTTTAGACCAAAGTTCTGAAGGAAAGAAGAATGGTTCCACGTAACTAGCTGGGCCAGGCAGAGGAAAGAGATCAACACCTAGTAGAGGAAGACGGCCTGGTATGTTACAGAACAGCAGTGTGGCAATGTGGCCAGAGTGAGAACAACAAGGGTGGGAAGAAAAGTAACCAAGAGCCAGGTCACATAGAGCCCTGTAGATGAGCAGGACGGCTTTGGGGTTCAGCGGGAGGAGATGAAGGCCGGTGAGCATGAGAGGCAGGGGAGCAGCAGGATCTGTTGTACACTTTCACAGTTTCCTCTGGTGGCTCTGATAAGAATAGGCTGGAGTAGGGATGGATACAGACAGGACCCAAGTTAGGAAGTTAGTAGAATAACATACATAAGACACAATGAGGATGGTGAGACGTGGTCAAACATTTGAAGAATTTTTCAAGATTTGCTGATGGATCAGATGAGGGTCAGAAGAGAAAGAGAAATTGAGGTTATTTATAAAGTCTCTTTTTTTTGTTTTTGAATTATCTTAGAAATTTAGAGAATGAAGTTGCATTAACTGAAATGAAGCAAGGTATAAGAGAAGCTGATTTGGGGAGAGATCTAGAGCCTAATTTTGAAGATACAGTTCACAATCCCCATCAGACCTCCAAGTGGAGACCTCAGGGAAGCCGTAGTATATGCTTGTCTGGGTCAGGGAAGACATCCAGGTTGGAGAAATGACTCTGGATGATCTCAGCAGAGAGGTGTTATTTGAAGCCTTGACTCTGGACTAGATTCAATATTGAGTAACTAACTATAAGTAGAAATAAATAGGTACAAGGGCTAAGTTCTGGGTACTCAGATATGAATGAGGGAGAAAAAAAATGGAGAAGCCAGAAAGTGTGGGGGCAATGGGGGAGATTAAGACGCAGCACTTGGAAAGGTAGGAGGAAACCCAGGTAGGTGTGGTGTCTTGGAAACCAAGAGGAAAAACCTTGAGAGAAGAAAATCATCAACTCTGCGTCAAAGATTGCTTTAAGATTGCAAGATGAAGACTGAGAATAACCATTACTAAGCAACACGAAAATCAAGGGTGACCTTGGAAGGCACAGTTTCAGCAGAACAGAAGGACTAAAGACCTGATTGGGGTACATTCAGGTAAGACTAGGAGGAGAGAAATTAAAGTGGTTAAAGAATTAAAACATTTTGTGTAATGAGAAGGAGGTAATAGAGAGTTAACTATAATGAGAATTGGGGCCAAGAGAGGTTTTCTTTCTTCATTCCAAGCTGAAATCAACAATGGAATATCTGTGTACTTACAGAGATAATCAGTAGACAGAGAAGACAGATCATGGGGGAAAGCGGGGGGAGTTGCTGAAGTGTCGTGGAGCAAGCTTTAGGAAATGTGGCAGCATAGGCCATCAGGAGTCATGATATGGACAGAATACAGACAATGGTCAAACACTGGAAGGTCACGTGAGCGAGTTACTAAAGGAAGGATGTGTAATGAAGGCAAGGGTCAGGGCTGGGTGGAGGACTAAGACAAAGTCAAAAAATACACAGGCCAAGCACAAGTAAGAGGATCATAGTCAGAGGACTAACTTGAGACCACATCCAGGAGGTTATCACATTGATCAGGAATCTCCCAAGAAACAGAACCAATAAATCCACAGTCATAATGTTTTAGTCAACAAGAGATGGCATACACAATGGAGGTCCCGTAACATTATATGGTCTAGTGATAGCACAGCCCTCTTCACTTAAATATACTCTATGACACTTGCGAGACACAATTGCCTAATGACACTTTTTCAGATAAAATCCAATTCTCAAGGGCTGCATGACTGCATAGAGACATGCAAGAAGGAATTTATAATGGGACTTGGCTCAAACAATGATGGAGGCAGAGGAATCCAACCGTGTACCATCCAAAGGCTGGAGGACCAGGGAAGCTGTGAGGAGGTCAACCTGAGCCAAAGACCTGAGAGGCTAGGAAGCAGCTAGTCAAAGTCCCAGAGCCAGGTCTTCTTTACTGGGTCAACTGATTCTAATGCTAATCTTTTCCAGAAACACCCTAACCGACACATCTAGAAATGATGTTTTACTGGCTATCTGTTCATTAACCCAGTTGAATTGACGTTTAAAATTAACCATCACAATTACTAGGTAGTCAAAGCCAAGGAAACCAGAAAACAAGCATTGGATATTGGACCATTGATATGGCACAGAGACCTCTCTGTTGGGCCAAGATTCCTTTTGAGGGCCTGCGATCCTATCAACAGATCTTCTTCTTCTAGTTCCTAAATCTGATGGCCAATACATCTTTTTAGAAATTACCTTTATCATTATTTTAATAAAGAATCATATTTGTGCACAAAAAGCACTACTGAATGTGTGCTATACCAAGACCTCTGAAATTAAGTTCGTTTCCCATTAAGTCTCATTGATGCTTCTAAAACCCACAAATGAAACTACACCGTGACGAAGGGTAGGGTGGCAGACTGTGTTCACCAAACAGTTCTCAATTTTCCAGGCCCTCACCTTCTTGCCTTTCCTGCCTCTGCAGATCTATTTGAGGTCATGTGACGCAGAATGTGTTGGAGTTGCAAGAAGGACGCTGGGTCTCTGAGTCCCCGGGTTCCTGGCAGGCATTCACACAGGAGAGTAGGCCGACAAGCCTCAGGTGCTGATAAGGACAAGAAATGAAATACCTTGGTTACATTAAGTCACTGACTTGTTTTCTCCCAACAGCATAGCCTGACGTGACCCTGGCAATGCAGACAGGCTAACTGAGTGGAGGTAACAGGTTGGCCTATAAATGCCAATCTTTTCAGTCATCGCCAGCTCACAGATGCTTAAATAACAAGTTCCCTTAGGATATAAACATAATTTGATCCACAACAATTTGGTTTTCATACAGCACATCTGGTTTTCAGGAATACATCTGTGTAAATTGAGTTACCTCTATAATGATATTGTATTTGCATCTGAGACACCGGAACGACAAGACTGACTACAGGTTAAATAAAAAGTGCCTAGGTCTATCTCCATTTGCTCTCCAAGTTTCTGTGATAACGTATGTAAACACCCTGCCGGTAATTAGATTCTGAGTTCTTCTTTGCAGTAATGATCCAGGTGGCATTAGAATTTTTAAAGCATTTTTTTTCCTATAAGGTTACAGTATACAGTTTTTTCAGTTTTAATTAAACCACTGCACAGTGAATAGTGCACCTTATTTAGAAGTTCAGATCTTTCCAGAACCCCCAACTCAGCTAAGAAAGCCAGTCCAGCTGATTCAGGCAGTTGTGTTGCCTTATAAAATACTGTCCCCAAAGACTCCTTTATACCCTCTCAGAGCCAGCACACAATTATCGAGGTTTCTACCTGTGCTGCTCAGTATGCACTTTCCACCCCGGCTCTGCCCCTATTTATCTGCTCAGTAATCACTTTGCTATTTTTGATGCTGGGGTAGGACTGTTGAGGTGTCTGCTGGGTTTTGTTGGGTGGCTTAACACTGAGGGAGAGCAGAAATGATGGCAGCAAGCAGTGTTTGGGTTTAGACCATGCTACCTCGCCCAGATGTTGAAGTAGAGGTTGCTGGAATGTGTCCTGCATCATGAACCTCTTATTCAAAGTATGTTCTACTTCATTGATAACATGACAGGATATTATTAGCCAGAATTTATCTCTACTGGTTCTTTTATCACTGGCAGTAAGTTTCCATAATGGCATCACTGTCCCAAATATTTGTTAAAGGCTTAAACAGTTTCAAATGCATGCTCCTTTATTTAATCTACAGCGGTTTCTGAAAGAGCACCACTCAGTGTTAGATGAAGCAGCTTATGCCCCCTGTCGTATTTCACATTTTTGTTTTATGCTTTGGTAGATTTCATAGCGATCTCTTTTTAACCAATAAAATTTGTTTTAGGGAAGAAGACACATTCTTTCTAAATAGTCAGACTGCAGTGAAAGAATTCTATGTCATAAAACCTTTTTCTAGGACTATAAGTCAACAGTGGGTCCTGCAGACCTTTAAAAAGAAGTTGGGCCTCTTATTCTCCGAGAGGTTGTTCTCACTCTCTCATGGTCTCATTTCACAAAGCAACTATAGCAGGATGGGAGGTATGTTTGACCTGGCCTCAGTTTATCTCCATGTAAATCCTGACTCTGTCCCTTGCAAACTAAGAGGTTTGGACAAATCTCTTTGAGTTCTCTGAACCTCATCTTTCTCATCTGTGAAATGGGGCCAGCAATACTTGTTCACCAAGTTATTCTAAAGAGTCAATACAGTACCCATGCAAAAGTCCCTAGCACTGAGCCTGGGCCCAAAGAGGTAAACACACACACATAAAAATTTATATCATCTCCAGGATATACACAACCCATCTGGCATGAGATAATGAGTTACATGAAGTCTCCTAAGGCGCAGTGATATGGAGAAGTCCAAACAGGTTGGCAGATGTTCTGGCCATTTCAGATTTGTCTGGTGTATGCGGTTATGCCCACCACACCTCCAGTGCTCACTTCCCTGTGATCAAGTCCTGATGTTCAATTTGCTACTGTTTTGCTGGGAGCACCTTATTTTCCTCCCCACCAAAGAAAACCACCATGGACTCCCCTTCGGAGCTGTGTGCTGCTCCACCAGCTCCCTCTCTTCCTCACTCAGTGGCCAAAGATACAAAGAAAGACCTCCATTTTAACTCAGGTGAAAGCATTTGGGACTGAAGTGAGGATGGCATGGATCCCCTTACTCATCCTGAGACAATTTACTTGGGGAAAAAAAAATCTCTGTCGGGCAAAGGAGTCTCCTCCAAACATTCCCTGTAAGAACCCTTTGGGTGCCAAGGTCAGGGACTGGAAGAGATCCCTCAGATTCAGGGTGTCAAGGTTCATCCACAAATGACACTGAGCCCTCCCTGTTAAACCAACAGGCAAGAACTCCCCACTCAGCGAGGAAAGCCCGTCTAGCTGGGGAAGTAGCGCTTAGTACAACACACACCTAGCTGCCACACATTCCCCTACCCCAACTAAACGAAATGGGTGCCCCATTTCCCTCATAACTTGTGGGGTGGGAAATGGGGCAGCAATGACTCCCATCAAAACCAGTTTAAATAACTCATCGCTTCTCCTTCTCACTATTCTCCACCATCAAGGTGAGTGGGTTTCAAACTGTGTCAGCTGTAACCCACAGTTAACGCTTATACCTTGCAACCAGAATTCATTCTCATTCTCTTTCTCTCTCTCCCGCCCTCTCCCCCTTCTCTCTCACACACACACAATCAAAAATGTAATGTGACAATTCTTACCTTTACTATATACAATGTACTTTATTTTATTTTCTAGTCTATTACATTCTATTTCATTTTTAATGTTGGTCATGACCTATCACATTGATTTTATGACTCACTAATGGGTCACAGCCTGTAGTTTTAAAAACACTGATCCAGGTATTTAATAAGGAGCTACTAGCCTGGAAAAGAAGTAAATGAGGATCATACTTTAAAGAACATGGAAGATGTCAGTTTTGCTACGATTATATGAAAAGTTCTTAGAAGATAAATGTGCTTTAACTTATCCATCCTAATAAATACATCTAAACATCCTAGAAATCGCATATAAAATAAACATAAGAAAACTCCAAAAGGTACAGAAAAGAAAGCAGCCTGTTGAGGGAACTCGGGGATGAAGGAAGGAGATGCTGGTGAGTTACTGGTTTTTCTTTGGGCCCCACGTGTGCCAGACGTGGAACAGAAGAACATGGCCACCTGGAAATGCCCCCAAGCGCAGAGAAAATCAGCTCTAAAAGACCAAGAAGAGGGGAGCCTACCGAGGAGGGGAACCTAGACAATCACAGTTCCATGCCACATACAGCAGCTCAAGCTGCGGCCCCACAGGCCAGCGAAGGCCAAATGCAAACCCAGGGCAGGCTGTAGAGGGGTGCCTCACCAGGGGCAGGGAACCAGAGTGGGCAGGGCCGGATGTCCATCCCTCTTGATTGGTTGGTAGAATCCCCCCACACCAGTTGGTCTACAGTATCCATGGAGATGTTGTGAGGAGCCTGGGCTTACAGAGCCACCCAACAGCACCCAAAAGCCCTGCCCTTCCCTACTGGAGCGGTGTCAGGGGACGCCTTGTGGAGACTCAAGACCTTTGCCACCTCCCAGGGGTTACAAGGCCACACACGGTGTCAGAGGCCCCACGAGAAGTAGAGGCCAGGGCTCCTGTTTTTCACAGCAGAGGAGGTTCAGAAGTGACAGAACGCCCTTCCCTCCCCGGCTTTGACAAGGGGCCTCCTCATCAGGGGTCCCTTGAGACTGAATGGGGAGCACAGACATCTACCCCCACATGGCAGTCATGAGTTAATGAACCCCCTCCTCCTCCACAAGGGCATGGCAGGAAATCAATTAAAACCAAGATTTAAATGAGATCTAGAGTCACAAAGCATGATGCCCCAAAGGTCCAGGTTTAAATTAAAAAACTCACATACCAAGAAACAGAAAGATCTCAAGCTGAATAAAATGAAAAGGATAATTAATAGATGCCACCATTGAGATAACAGAGATGTTAGAATTATCTGGCTAAAAATATATATTTATTTATTTATTGCAGTCCTGGGAATTGAACCCAGGGCCTTGGGTGTGCCTGCAAGTACTCTACCAGTGAGCTCCAGCCCCAGCCCCAGCCCCAGCCCCAGCGCCTCTTAAAGATCTTAAAGTCATCATCATAAAAGTGCTTCAGTGGGAAATTACAAACATGCTTAAAAGAAATGGGAAATGTAAATAAATAAATAGAAGATACAACAGAAAGTTTGAGAACATAGTTAAGTTTAAAATTTCAACCACACAATGGATGAGGCAGAGGAAAGAATCAATGAAATGGAAAGTAGAAAAAATAAATTATGTCATACAAGCAGAGAGAAAATAAGACTGAAAAGAAGAAAGAATAGAGACTAAGGGAACTGTCCACTATAACAAGATATCTAGAATCCATGTGATTGGAGTCCCAGAAGAAGAGGCGAATGAGGGAAGGACTGAGAAATACATAGAGAAATAATAACCAAAAACTTTACAAATTAGGCAAAAGAGAGAAAGCTGCATATTTAAGAAGCTAAACAATACATCCTAACTTAGCTAAATTACAAGTGTGTTTATCACAGGATGCAACAGTGGTTCAACACAGGAAATCAAGCACTGTAGAGCTCCACATTCAAAAAACAGGGTGAGGAAACACGTAATTTCAATAGATGCATAAAAAACATTTGACACAATTCACTCTTTCATGATAAAAATATTCAGAAACTAGCAATAAAAAGAGATTCCCTCAGTGAAACATAGGGATTGGGGGCGGGAACCCTGCGCTAATGTCATATTCAATAAGAAAAGGCAAAGCTCTGCCCCTAAGATCAGGATGTCCCCTCCTCCCCTCTTTTTTCCTTCTTTCTTTCTGATTGGTGCATCTCGACTATAGGGAACAGTGAGTTTCATCACGGCGATTTCACACTTAGGTAAAAACATAATTTGAACAATTTTACTTCCCACTACTCTCCTGCTTACCCTCCTCCCCCCTCATCCCCTCTATCTTAACGATCACCCTTCTACTTTCATAATGTCCCTTTTTGTCCTGCCTTTTTCCCCTCTGGCTTCCACATATGAAGGGAAATATATTTTTCTCCCTGAGTCTAGCTTATTTCACTCAAAATTATGGTCTCCAGTTCCATCCCTTTTTCCTGCAAATGACACAATTTCATTCAACTTTATGACTGAATAAAACTCCGTTGTGTATATGTATCACACTTTCTTTATCCGCTCATCTGATGACGGACACCTAGGCTGATTCCATCACTTGGCTATGGTGAATTGTGCTGTGATAAACATGGGTACGCATGTTCTCTCTAAAGTATGCTGGCTTTAGTTCCTCTGGATAAATACCAAGGAGTGGTAGAGCTGGATCATATGGTAGTTCTATTTTTAGCTTTTTGAGGAAACTCCCTACTGATTACCATAGTGGCTGTACAAATTCACATTCCTACCAACATTGTATAAGGTCCTTTTCTCTCCCGGCATCCTTGTCAGCATTTATTATTTGTATTCTTGATGGCTGCATCTCTACCTAGAGTAAGATGGACTCTCAGTGTAGTTTTAATTTGCATTTCCCTGATAGCTAAACATGTTGAATATTTTTTCATATAGTTGTTGGCCATTTATACTTCTTTTAAGAAGCATCTGTTCAGTTATTTGCCCATTTATTAATTGGGTTATTATTAAGAAACTTTTCTGCACAGCAAAGAGTGGCCAGTTTCACCATGTCTATTCAATATTATACAGAAGTTCTAGCCAGAACAAATAGGTAAGAAAAGCAAGCAAAAGGTACCTAAATTGGAAAGTAAAAATAAATGATATTTCCTATATATTATAATACATGATCTTACATACAGAACATTCCAAAGAATCAAAAACAAAGCTATTAGAGCCAATAAAATAATTCAGGAAAATTGTAGGATAAAAACAAACACAAAATGCCTATGATTGAATGTTTTAATCCAATTCACTCACGAACATTTAGAGAGCACCCAATGAATCCTGGATACCTAAATTAAGATGTTATTATCAATGTGAAAAATACACTTCCTATTCTCATTTGTTTCAAAATCAACACAGAAAAATCTGTTATGTTTTTATACACAAGCAATAAACAATCCAAAAAAGAAACTTAAAAATGATTCATACTGCAAGAGTACCCAAAAGAATAAAATACCTAGGAATAAATTTAACCAGGACAGTGAAAGATTGGTACACCGAAAACTACAAAGCATTGCTGTCAGAATTTAAAGAAAACCCAAATTAGCAGAAAAATCTCTCTCATGTTCATTTATTGGAATATTTAATATTGTTCAACACAACCTTGTCAAAACAGCAACAGATGTTTTGTAGAAATGGAAAAACCCTGTCTTCAAATTCATGCAAAGTTACAAGGAATTGCAAAGGGTCAAACAATCTTGAAAGAGAAGAACAAAGTTAAGAACACTCATACTTCTGATTTTAAAATTCATTACAAAGCTACAGTAATCCAAACAGTGTTGTTCTGGCATATGGAAAGACCTATAAAGCAATAGAATAGAACTGAGAGTCCAGAAATAAACCTATAATCTATAAACAATTTATTTTGGCAAGACTACCCAAACCATCCAATAAGGAAAAACATTTCTTCAATTGATGGTGACCTCTAAAAGGCAAAGCATGAATCTTGACACATTACCTCATACCATACACAAAAATTGACTCAAAATTGCTAAACATACGAAATATCAGAATTAAAATCTTAAGTCCTTATAAGAAACAGGGAAATTCTTCATGAACATAGATTAATCAATGACTCCTAGGTATGACACTAAAAGTATGAGGAGCAAAAAAAGTAGGTAAGTTGGCCTTCATGAAAAATTTTACAAATTATATGCATCAAAGAACATTATTATTTTTTTGGCACTTGAGATCGAACCCAAGGGTGCTCTACCACTAAGCCACATCCCCAGTCCTATTTATTTTTTATTTTGAGACAGGGCCTCACTAAGTCACTGGCCTCGAACTTACCATCCTCCCACATCAGCCTTCTGAACAGAGGAGATTACAGGCATGTACCACTGTGCCCAGCATCAAAGGACATTATGAAGAAAGTTTCTAAAAGCAACCTTTCACAGAATGTGAGACTATTTTGCCAAGTCATGTATCTGACAAGGGTCAAGGTCCAGAATATATTAACAACTCCTGCAACTCATCATCAAAAAGATAATTCAATCCTGTTTAAAAATGGTCAAAGAATTTGAGACACTTGACATGTCTCTAAAAATATGTAAAAATGGCAAATAAGCAAATAAAAGGATGGTCAACGTCATTATTCATTAGGGAAATTCAAATCAAACCACAAAAATATACTACTTTATATGTATTAGCATTACTATAATTTTTTTTAAAAGTGAAAACCAACAAGTGTTGGTGAGAGGGTGTAAAAATAGGAGTCTTTGGAATTTCCTGTGGGAATGTAAAATATTGAGGCAACCACAGAAACAGTTTGGTAGTCCCTAAAATGTTGTAGAATTATCATTTGGCTCAGCAATTCCATTCCTAGGTATGTACCCAAAGTAATTGAAAGTAGGGAGTCAAACAGATATGTGAGTACCAATATTTACAGCAACATTACTCATAGCAGTGTCCCAAAGTGTCCCAAAGTGTCCAATAACAGATAAACGAAATGTGATACACATATACAGTGGAAAATCATTCAGCCAGAGACAAAGAATGAACTCACAGTATAACATTGATGAGCTTTGAAGGCATACAAAGTGAACTAAACAGATATAAAAGGACAAATACGGTTGTCATTCCCCTGTATGAAATATCTACACTACACAAATTGATAAACAGAAGTATGTTAGAGGACAGCAGAGGTGGGGGTCAGAGGAAGATGGGGAGTTACAGACTGTGTGGGGTGACAAACATTGAAACATAGTGATAATGGTTGCACAATATTTCATATGTAACTAATGCCACTGAATTGTACACTTAAAATAGTTTAAAATAGCAAAATTTATATTACATATATTTTACCACAATAGAAATAATCTTTAAAAACTAATGAGTTTTGACAAAGAACAGCAAAACCAACCTAAAGCAACTTCCACTGGCTTATATTAAAAAAATGACCATTATAAAAAGAATAAAACCATATTTAATTCCAACACATACAATATAGAAACTTGTGGCTTCAAACCAAAACTAAAAAACCATTGGTCACCATTGGAAATTACAAGGGCACAACAGAATTAAGAAATTATCCTTCCCTTCCCATATGAACTGCATTCAGGGAAACTCGTGGTTGACAAGGATTGCCCCCTCCTTACAGAATGTGTTAATAGATGCAAGGTAGCGATGAAATTTTAAAAATTCTAATTTTGCAATCCCTAATGAGATAATGAATTGTCAATCAATGCACAATCTATGACATGAAAGATTAATGGGGAATTTTATAATGCAGGAATTCATTTTATTCCACTGATCCCATTGATCAGCTTTAACACCACTAAATATGAGATCCCAGACATTTGTCTGATTTTATGATACAATAAAAAAAAAATATATAGTATAATCTATGAATGATTTTTACTTTTAAAAAATTGAACTTAAATCAGATTAGTAAAAAAAATGAAACAAAACTGTTTCTACTTGTAAATGATAGGATTGTCTACAAATAAAAACCCCAATAAGTATTAAAAAAAATTTTTAACTCATAGAATAAATGAGTTCAGCAAGGTTAGAAAATACAGATAACACAAAAATATAAATTATATTTCTATATACTAATATTTAACATGAATACATAAAAATTAAGAACACAATACTATGTATAGCCACTCAAAAAATTAACAAAACATTGTTAGATTTATATAATAAAAACTGAAAAATGTTGATAAAAGAAATCAAAGATCTAAGTAAATGGAAAGATATACTGTGCTTATGGATTAAAAGACTAGACTTAGAAAACATGGACTATCTTTCCTAAATAGATATACAGATTGAATGGGATCAGTGGTATAAAATGGATCCCTGCATTTTAACATTAATATTAATCTTTCAAGTCATAGATGGTGCATTGATTGACAATCATTACCTCATTAGGGGTTGTAAAATTAGAATTTTTAAATTCCATTATTACTCTTGCATCTATTAAACTCTCAGCAATTTTTTTTTACTTATAGACAAGTTTATTGTAAAATTTATGTGAAAAGGTGAAGGAATAAGAATAGCTAAAAAAATTTTCTGAATAAGAATAAAATGAAAGGAATCATTCTAACTCATTCTAAGACTCAGTTTCCAACTATACTATCAAGACTGTGCAGTCTCAGTGCAGAACAGAAACAAATAGGTCAATGAACATAACAGAAGACCCAGATATATGCTCACACAAACATGTCCAACTTATTTTTGACAAAAGTGCAAAATTAATCCAATGTTTGTTAAAAAGAAGAATCAGTCTTTTTAACAAACTTTGCTAGATCGATTGAGCATCCATTGGCATAAAAAAAAAAACCCAACGAAAGAATCTTGTAACTTATACAAAAGTTAATCAAAATACTTAAGCCATTGGTAAATACTCAAAGTATTTAATTCATAGACTTAAATGTAAAATGACAAACTATAAAACCTTACAAAATAATATAGGGGTATCTTCAGAATGTCGGGTTAGGTGAGAGAATTCTTAGACTGGACAGCCAAACACAATATGTGCAAAGAAAAATTGATAAATTGGACAGCATCAAAATGAAAAGTTTATCCTCTTTGAAATTCCCTGTTAAGAGAATAAAAAGACAAATCGTACTGGGAGAAAACACGTGCACACCACCTATCCAGTACGAAGAGCATAAGGAACTCTTGTAATTCAAGAGTTACAAAAATAAATAAAATAATAAGTTAAGTAATAGGGAAAAGATATAAGAGGCATTTTATTACAGAGGAAAACCATGATAAATATGCTCCTGAGATGTTCAACATCATTAGCCACAAGAGAAATGCATATGAAAACCACAAGGAGCTCATTCCACATGTCTCAGCGTGACTAACATTAAAAACAGTGACAACACCAAAGGCTGGCGAGGAAAGGAACGGATCACGGAGCGTTGCTGGCTGGAATGCAAGATGGTGCAGGCGCTCTGGGAAACGGCTTGGTACTTCCTTAAAAAACTCAACATGCAACTCACACTCAACCCAGAAATTGCACTCCTGGGCATTTATCCCAGAGAAACGACAACATATGCTCACATGAAAACCTACATAAATGTTTATAACAGATTTATTTGTAATATAAATAAACTAGAAACAACCCAAATGTCCTTCAGTGGGTGAATGGCTAGACAAACTGGGGAGATACAGCCACACCACGGAGCACCTCTCAGCAATAAGGGAACAAGCCGGTCATGGTGCCGCAACCCGAAAGTGTGGACCTTCAGGGAACCATGCTGAATGCTTGTCTTTTTTTTTTTTTTTTTCCCAGTACTTCAGACCCCAGGGGCACTCTGCCCTTAACCCTATTTTTTATTTTGAGACAGGACCTCAATAAGCTGCTGAGGCTGGTCTCAGAACTTGTGATCCTCCTGCCTCAGCCTCCCAAGTGGCTGGGATCTCATGCATGCACCACTAGGTCTGGCTATAACATTCTTAAAATGACAGAATTATAGGACTGGAAAGAACAGATTAGTGAATTCCTTTGGTTGGGATTAGTGGAATCCTTAGGTTGATGGGGTGCTCTGCATCTTGACTGCATCAAGGTCAATACCCTAGTTGAGTTGTTGCACTATAGTTTCAGAAAACAAGGTAAAGGGTACAGTAAATCTCTCTGTATTGTTTCTTACAAGTACATGCGAATGTACATTTGTCTCAAAATAAAGAGGTTAATTTTTTTTAAAAAAAGGATATGGGTAGGGAGTATAATCTTGAGAATTGAATTTTTCCACTTTTATCCAGGAACTTAAAACAAGGTATTTCAACTCCCTGGGTGTCAGTTTTCCTACCTGTGGAGCAGAATGGCAAAAACTAGCTCAAAAGTTCACTTAATTTTGATGTTCTGTGTTATATATAGCTATAGAAAGTGGACACAGGATGAAGGAAGTGTGCAGACAGTGATAATAAATTTTCTCAGCCCTTCCTACCTTACGGGCTGTTTTGAAATAGAATATATGGAAGTGTTCTGAGCAGTGAAAGCATCACACCAATGCTAGTTATTATTTGGTTCTTTTTAGGCAATAAATAAATGAGAGGGGCTGGGGATGTGGCTCAAGCCATAGCGCGCTCGCCTGGCATGCGTGCAGCCCGGGTTCGATCCTCAGCACCACATACAAACAAAGATGTTGTGTCTGCCGAAAACTAAAAAATAAATATTAAAAAAAAATAAATAAATGAGATCTGAATACACCATGAAAGATATAAAAGTTGGATAAAATAATCATGTTATATTACCTTGGAATATCCCATGGGAAATGAGGTGGAGTACAACACTGGATACAGCTCTGTGGCCGCTTGTCCCTACCCTGTACCTCCTTCTCCTACTCCATAGCTAAGGCTTCAGGGCTAGAAAGCCCTTACACACCAGGGCCCCAAGGTCACAATAGCAGGGAGGACCAGTAATACTGGCAATACCAAACACTTTCCCAAAAGCTAACCTTGGGCGTCTCCTCCCATCCTCAAAACACCATCCACCCCAGTCTGTTGGAAAATAAAATCCAAAATGATATTTTAGAGAATGGGGAGGAGACAGAGCTGGGAATCCTGGAGTCAGACCTGAGATTCTCACATTATTACCACTGGTCAACCATGTGAGCCCTAGGACACCACCGAGAAAGCATTTTCTGCCCAGCTGACCACAAAGGCAAAGAGAAAGGGAGAGAAAGATATAAAAAGAGAAAGGAAAAGGAGAAGGTAACCAGGAACACAGAGTCGGGAGAATGACAGGCTCTCTCTGAGGCCGGCTTCTGGGGGAATGGATGGTCCAATACCACAGATAAGAAATTAATTCCCCCCCCATCATAAAAACACAGCAGCCACTGCTTTGAGGTACATCGATAGCCCCTGAATTTCAGAGAGCATGCAGAAGGAC